ACTACCAGATGTTCCTATGAAATGTTCTATCATTGTGAAAAGTAACGTATTGATTGTATCTGGGACTTATCTTCTAATACGTGCATCGAAAATAGGTGTTGCTTCTTCATCTCTTTTGACTACATTTTTAATTTCGTTTTTGGATTGTTCAGTGAGATGCTTTTCCCACCAAGAATGAAGCATTCCTGTAAACCCAATGACCAAAAGGTCAACAACTTGAGCTTGACTAAGGTTGATTGGCGATATACCTATTAGCAACCATGGAGATGTGTTGTGATTTGTTCAGAAGTTCCTGGTCTAATAATCCATCTATGCTCTATTAAGAGTTTATCAGCTGAGACCGAGAATTGGTTTTGGATGTTTCTTTCCTCAAATTGAATATCCAGAAGTGTTGGTCTTCGATACCAATTTTTGGTAAGAGTTGTTGGATTGACTCTTTTGTTTGTGATTCATTTTAGTTCAAGGTTCTGAAAAGCTTTTTCAATTTTTCTGATCGAACTTGTTTCACTTTCTCTTCTGAATCCCATATTGCATAAGTTGTTTCTGGTTAAGATTCATTTGGACGTTGTAGGACATTAACTTTTTTTTCTTGTTCTGATTCTTGTAATATGTGATCTATTTTTTGACTTGTAGAGATCGTTTTCAAGGCTGTTGTGCTAGATGAGGCTTCTGGAAAGTTGACTAAGGGTTTTTCCTTAATTGTGGGTTTGGGGTGTGAAAGCCTATCAATTTTGGTTTCATTTTATCTAGCTGTTTTCCTATGATGTGTAGAATCTGGTTTGTGAAATTGTTTTGTTCAATGACTGGCTTAACTTTGCATCTTCTTTGGGAAGTTTGAAATGAGTGGCCAGTACCTGAGTGTTAGCAATTGTAATTAAAATTGTTTATTGTGGAGGGTGACTAGAGGAGACTATGGTTTTGTCTTCTTTGACCCAATTTTCTTTGGTGATGATTTCTAAATTCTTTTCAGATTCATAATATTTTTCAATGAAATCGAAGAAAAATACTTCAAATCTGTGTTTTTTTCATAAAATTGTTCCATTTATTGTAAATGTCCAATTTTTGTTCTTTTGTATATTTTTCCCTAAAGATGTTTCTCCTAGGAATGTTTTCTATTTCTTTGATGTCAGAATTGAGTTTCTTCCATCAAATTTTGAATGATTTTTTGAGGACTAGCAGTTGGTGGTTGACTTGATTTGCTTTGAAATCAAATTATGTTGGAGAGGTTTGTTCTCCCTGGTTGTGGGTGTTAGGTTGATATCTTGGATGAGTAACCTAAGAGTTTGTTTCTATTGATTTTAACTTAATGTTGATCAAATCATTAATCAATTCTTGCTAGGTGACTACTGAGCTAGTTTCTACTGATTTTAATTTCTTATTGACCAGGGAATTGATGAGATCTTGATCTCGACCTAACATATCAATTGATATGGATGCAGAAAAAGAACTCCTAACTGGTTCTGTAAATCTATGTGACTAGGCTAACTCTTGAAGGTGGACATTAGATTTTCTAGTCGAAGGGTTGAAGTTGATTTTAACTGTTTCGTCAAAATATTATTCTATACTGTCTAGGTTGACTAAGCTATTTTGTATGCTTACTTGTTTGCTTTCATTAATTAGGCACCTATGAAACCCCACCCCAAATAATTTGTAATTTTATTTTTGTTTAACAATTTATAAAATTACAAAATTATCCTTCACTTCCTACCCAATCCGGATCCCTTTTCTAGATTCTCTCCCTCTCTTTAGCTACCACGCGGCAGCCCCCTAACCCATCCCCTATCTCTTTCTCTCCTTCCTCCGAGTCAACCTTCTCCCTCTCTCAGCTCACACACTTTTCTCTCTCTCACAGATCTCTCTCTCGCACTTTCCCTTCCCGATCTATCCACACACGCACACCGAAACACCACCACCCCAATGACCTCACCACCACCACCACCCTCGTGAGAACCTTTTCCCTCTTTCTCTTCGTTGCTATGAAGCTCCGTGGCACACAGAGGACACCCAAGAACCTATGGTGTTCAAGCTCAGATTCTAGACACCTTCGGCCACCCCTACGACAAATCAAGGGTACCTAATCACTCCCTCTCATCTCTAACTTCATTTTGGTACCTAGTTAATAGCCTAGCGGTGAGTGTTGACGGCGACCGGAGCTCGAAAAGCTCCGGCCTTCTTCCTCAACGAGGAAAAAGCCTTCAAGCCCAAACCCAAAGAGACAAGCCCTTGGGGCCATACTAACTCGGGCTATTGGCTCGTTAAACCCTTGGCCCAAAAACATAAGGGCTTCAGCCCGTTGAACTTTAAACCCTATAACCCTTGGGTCGGGCTTTCAAGCCCAGGCCTTTTGCCCCAAAACCCATTAGACCCACACCTTTGGGCCTTGGAACCCAACCCAGTGGCGAAGCCTAGGCCACCTAACCCAAGCCCAAGAACCCAGGCCCAAATTCGATCCAACCCAGCAGCCCAGCCACGCATGGGTGCTTGCGAGTGTCGACACGTGGCCGCTGGAGCAGCCAGTATGAAGGCACGTGGGGATACCCAAGGTCATTCTTTATATTTTTTGACGTCCTAAATTTGTTTATGACGTCCATTTTCCAAAAGTCAATTTTTTTTAGTATAGTTTTATTAATTGAATCCTTTATGTGCTTAGGTGCATTTATTAGTGATGATTTCGTCATTTCTATTTTGTACGGCTCTTCGACGACGGAGTATTTGTGAGTGGACCCCTTCTAAAATGCATGTTTTAATAGTAGAAATGCATACATAAAAAACATGATTTAATGGTTATGTTTTATGAAACGTTTTATAAGTAAATTGGATTTACATTATATGATTATCATGCTTACTAAGAATATTTTGGAATACCATACTTTATCGAAATTATGTTCTTTGTAGTATACTATTTATGAACATGTTTTCTTTACACTTCTTTATAGTATATATGATGGATGACTATATGCTATGAAGATGATTTTGAGATATATGAACTTATGTTTGGAAAGAGTATATTCAATGTTTTGTGCGTATCTAGTGGTCACTGTTTTGCCTATGGGCGATGATACTTAAATTGGCTTCAGCCGGGCTTTGGTAGATGGCTTCGACTGGGAGATACTTCAATTGGCTTCGGCTAGGCATTGGTAGATGGCTCCGGTAGGGAAATACTTAAATTGGCTTCGACCGGAAGATACTTATATTGGCTTCGGCCGGGTGTTGGTAGATGGCCACGGCCGGAAGATACTTATATATGATACCACTAGTTAGCACACTATACGATATAGGTTTCATGAAAGGCATCATGGCACACTAGGGTTTTCGGAAAACTTAATACATATTATGCTATTGAGTTTTCATAAAACTTTAAAGGTTAGTATGTTGATAATTGTTTTCATATTACATATATATCAACGGTCCACTCATATTTATTTTTGCGCCCCCTCAGGACATAGGAACGAGGCTTACAATCCGAGCTACAAGGCATTCCCCTACCAGTGATATCGTGCCTTCATCTCTGCTTTGACATCATTGTAATAGCACCTTCCATTGTATTCTGAATTATATATGCTCTGAACATGTCATGCACTATCACTACCTTTATCATTGTTAGCAATTGAGTATTAGTATATTAATTTATATAGTTCGAACGAAATTTATATGCATGATTTACATGTTCTTAGCATATGCATTCATTAAATGGCTTGTGTCACCCTCCGGTGGGACCGGCACGTGACCATCCCGATGTCCCTTGGACATTGGATCGAGGCGTGTCAGCACCAATCTGAAGGTAGACTGATGTCTAACCATTCGATAGTTCTGGGTATTTTGATATTGGCATTTTCTTGATTGGTTTGTATTAAAAGTGTGTGGTCTCTAGGGCTTTTGACTAAGGCTTGGAAATTCATGTTTGTTCCTGTAACTTTGTAATAAACTCTAAAAATTAAGGCTAATGGTTGGACTCCTTCAAGGACCTGGTACCCTGAATTTTTTATGTTTAATGTGAGTGTTTTCAGCAATGTGAGGATCTGAAAGGCTTATTGTGAGATCTAGGATGAACTGGTCCGTTATAAGGGTTTGACTCGATCATTCCAAGAATGCTATCACTGAAGTCAGTGAATCTTGCATCTCTAAGGCATAACAAAATAGAGGTATTGAGGCCTCTTCTTGTTAAATGTTTGACTGTGATCTAAACTAGACCTATGTAAATGTAATTGTAACCATCTTTTCTATGGGCTTTGATTTGTTCTAGTGTGAACAATTGACAAGTCTCATGTTCTTTACTGAGAGCATAAGCCTTTTCAACTGTTTTAACATGATGTTCACTTCTAAAAGAGGCTACTGACCACTTCTTTTTGTAAATGTTTTTAATGGATATTTTGGGGATATTCCAATCTCCAAAATAGACGCTTTCATCCGTTTGAAATTCTAATTTTTGTTCCTCATTTACTATGTCTGGAATCCTACTTGAAGTGGATCTAGAGGTAGTGTTGGCAGTTGAATTAGATCTAAATAATCTACTCATTATTCAAAATGCAAATTTTCTAATTACAGAAATCTTACCAGTTTTTTACTTTCTTCGCGTATTTGCTAAACTCTCTCTCCACTCATGTGATCCGCTCATGCCAATCCTATGGATTTATTGTTTGGAACACGCCATACTGTTTGGTTTGAGAGTAAACAAATACTTAGAAATCTTAACAGATAAGGTAAACCGTAACTGAAAAGTCGAAAGATGAACAAGATGAATGGACGATAAAGATGATAACTCAATTAACATGTTTACTTACTTGGACAGATAAAAGTCATAACATCATAAACCAGGAAAGAGAAGATGAATAAGAATGAGGTTGATTAGTCCCCCTTCCAGATTTTTCAGGCATTTGATTATGAATTTCCAGGCGAAACACATACTTTTTTCAATTTCATGTGTTGGCAAACATACAAGTTCGGAGTCTAAATGGTTCAAATCGTAGGAAAGTTTACGTTAAAATTGATTCCAAATCCTATACGCTTGTAAACATTGCAAATTGATTTCAGCAAACGGAATGAAGGATCAACGCCGATTCCTTATTTCGGCGCAAATTTACAGATGTTTATCAGCTCCCAACGCAGAGCTTCATCAAGAGATTGTTCGAGGAAAAAAAGGGCAACATCAATTGAAAATATTTATTCTATTGATGAGAAAAGATGATAAGTCGCATCCTGCAAAAGCTTTTGCAGATTGAAGGAAAACTTTACCAAAACTTTCCATCGGTATGAATCGACCAAAGCAGGAAAGGCGCTTCGAAGTAATGAAATATAAGAGCATGCCACTCAATCACCTCCAACTGGACAAAGTTACGAAACAAGCTTTACGACTCCCCACATGGGTGCATCATTCTGCAGGAAACCATGGAATAAGATGAAAACGTGTACTAGCTATGTTCGTACTTTTATCCTACTAACCCTCACAAGAATTTCCAAGGTATACTAATCAAGGACATAGCTTATCTATCCTGGTTGACACTCACAAGAATCTCCCACATCTAACAACTTTGCTGAAACACTTGGAAATTTACTATCTCAATTCTTTTTTCAAGTAAGGAACCCTCTCAGCTTCGACCAAACATTATGAATCGTTGATGCTGAAAGGGTACACTATCCAGGGACAAGATAATCTTAAAACGCCAAGTGAAAGCAAAATAGCATTCCTGTTCCTTTGACAACTAGAAATGGTCAACCAAAATAGTGAAAGCAACTAGAAACTTTGCAAGGCATTCAGCTCACCAGGTAAACCATATCAAAGGCTTTTCGATAGCCATCAAGAGAGTTCTCCACATTGTCATTCCTGAAACAGCAGTTAACATGTTTCAACAATTAAACTGATTTAAGGCTCACCATTAAATTTTCTTTGACAAAATTATCAGATTTATTAAGAAAAAAAACGAAAGAAACTAAGCGGATGTGCAATGTAAATTAATTTATTCTTTTTCCAGCAAAATAATTAATTTTTAACTTCATTGGAACTTAATAAACAAACAAATATTTTTCAGTCGCAACTTTCCTCTAATTGTTGGTAGCAATGGAACGTAAAAGTAATCAGTAATATGTAGGTGCCCACTCATTTTGGCCAAACAATAACAGCCTCTTTACTTTCCTAGACAACTGAAAAATGCATATTCCTCAACATATATCCATTTCACGTTCTACATAAACTATCTAAGAAGTTGCTTCCAAGATATATTAACATGAGCACTGAAATATGAAAGAAGTTAGTCTTAGATTCACAACTCCTAATTTTTTTATATATATTTTGGGTATGGAATAAAATAAAATATTGACTTACAGAAATCCCACGGATATTCTGTTCTCATAGTTCAAACCGTCAGACATTCCAAGGTCACCAATGTGATCACCCAGAAGCAGGACATTTAACCTGGTCTTGACTGAGGCATTCTCATAAGGTGGCCCGTCTACGTCACCTAATCGATCATGAAGGGGACCAGCCATATCAAGAGCATGCTCATTTTTATTCAAACTATGAATTGTCTTCCCTGAAAAATTAAGTCAATTGAAACTCAGAGTATGCAAATTCACTACCTCATCATGATGAATAGAATTTGCATCAATATATGAAGGATAGAGGATATGAATGTTTAGTGTACACCAAGAACCTATGCTCCCATAATTCATACTTACTAAGACATTATCTTAATGATTTGTCTTTCTAGTGTGCGAAGAATTTATCATCAGTGGATACCTCTGAAAGTTACGAGGCGACCGTTATCATCAAATACCATCCGATTGGAGACAATCTTCACATTTTTGAAAAGTCTGTGAACCTTCTGGCGCATGACCTGGAACAATGAGAAGAGCAAACATTAATGCACAAGAAAGTTGCGAAATAGACCTGGAACTTGGAAATGAACACACGAGAAATATGGCCACAAAACTTAACTAACCTCCTCTATGATATCAGCAAGTCCCGCAGAAAATATAAGAACGGGGACGTCTCTCTCCTGCAAAAGCGGATAGTAGGAAATTATGAGCAGAGCTTAATAAAATAAGTTTTTCTGTTTCCTAAATAAAAGAACAAATAAAATTAAGGGACAAATGAGAACAAATCAGATGACAATTGCCAACATGAACTAGTTCACACTGAATAAACTCAAACACTAAGAATATCAAAATCTTCAATTGATTATTTCCTTCCGGTTACAAATTTTATGTATTCCGCTAATAAGAATTACTAACATAGTCGTCGGAGTAAAACAAAACTTACCTCCAAAAACTCAAATAGTTCTACAACACCCTCCCTAAAAGCAATCGTGGAGTGAGCAACAGATTGCTTTATTCCATCGTATGTAACGCCACCCTCAACTAAGAGCCCATGAGTTTTCCCCCACCTGTATCCATGCAATCAGTATTTCTGTGATCTGAAATCCAATAATTGGAACCAAGGTAACATGCGGTAGCTTCCTATGAATATGAACTTTCAGGTGAACCATTCCATGATAATTCGGTGATCATAAGCGAAAAACAGACAAAAAGAGGCTACCTAGAATCATCTAATGCAGGTATCCATATAGATTCATTAGACTCCACATACCCTCCTTTAGATAAAAATAACAAGGGAAATTACCATTCTTCCATAAGCTTAGTTTTCTCTTCAAGTGGAATTGTCGGGGAGAACTCTAACGGATGATAATGTTCATACAATTCCTGTCTTTTCCTATCATATTCCGGATTCTCCTGCTGCAAAAGACCATGACTACCTACTCTTGTTATCAACGAAAATCGAAAACAAGAAAACCCTGCAAACAGAATCGAGTCCAAAGAACACAAAAGGAACTTACTTTGTCCCCGGCAACCATTGACCCGGTACCTGGTCAAGGTGGCATCAAAATCTGCTATCACCTGACATAAAAATTAATTAATTAAATCAATAAAACTCTAAAGTTCTATGTGCACATTAAATTTCCTTCAATGGAAGAAAGTTTTACTCCAAACTATCTTACTTCTTTGCAGTTTAGGACACAAAATATAGGCGAAAGAAAGGGATGAAGGAGGCAAACCTGAAGTTTGGCGGGACCGGCATCGCGAATAGCATCAATTTTCTTGAGCAGGAAGTCGGAGTCACCCACAACCGCCGCGTCACAAGAAGCATCGGTTTCCATGTGGGTCGGATTTCTGAAGCTTCTGCCGCTACAAAACCAAGCCCTGCAATTGCAATTGCAAAGCTTAAATTCGATATAAAACGCACATACATACATATATACATATATATATAGAGAGAGAGAGAGAGGGAGAGAGAGAGAGAGAGAGAGAGAATGTGATAAGATTGGAGTTGGAAGAGGAACCTGGAAATAAACGAGTGGGGTGGAAGCAAGCGGCGGTGGGGAGTGGTGGTGCCGAGAAGGAGGATGCTTTGGAGACGATTAATGTTCATCTGAGTTGAAAGTTGAGAGTGTGTAATTATTATGTCTCTCAGATTCTTATTTGGTAACCACTACCAATCACATATTCCATCACTGTACTCGGTTTAACTGAACCCTAACAAACAATTTAGGGGCAGATATTTTAGCGGGTTTACCGACCAATCTTAACCGAAACTAGTTGAGTTGCAAACTTCAAAATTTTACTTTTGGTTAAAAATCATTCCACTCGTTTCAAGGGTTGAATCGGATTGGCTTGAAGTATTATTAACCGAAGAGTAATGCTATATTTATCATATCTTTTTCATACTACGTGTGTGCAACATTTCTAATAGAGGTAAGGAAATGTCAGTGTTGTCTATATTAGAAAAATAGTACAAATGTAGTAAGAATAACATTTTTTGTGAACCTAATTGAAACTGATTGAAATATCAAAATCCTAAAATATACTTTATAATAGATTATACATAAAGAAAATTTAATAAATTTTTAACACGCTTTAAATATTAAGTAACAATAGTGATTTTACAACACCAAATTCATATGATTTAGGCCCAATATGACATTCATTTTGGATTATGTTAATTATACTCACATTAATGATAAGAAAGTAATTAATCCCATCATAACTTGCCTAAGAATAGTTTGGGTGGGCTGGTTTGCCAATTTTCTTGGGTGAAAATAGGTTCAACTCGACCTTATCGGGCTGGCTAAGGATGATTTATAGCCAATGCCCACCCTTGACAAGCATAAGTGAAATTCTAGTTATATCCTTTTTAGGGCTGGAATTCTTTTACCCAAAAATCGAAACACAAATGTAAGTACAGTTTACTGCCTAGGCCACGTATTGAAAGAATATTGGTTACTTGAAAATTAAACACAAACTCACCATCATGAAAATTAAACTTAAAACTTTTCTTCTACAAGTAAACAGAAATATCACATTTAGCACTAGACGAGTATAAGTGGATTTCCCACTAAGAAAAAATCGCCTACAAGAGAAGATTTACGTTTAGTGCGGATATGATTCCATTAGAGGATTGCACTTGAGGTTCGAACAAAAGATGGATTACACTTGTGAATGAAATAAATAACGGAATCTCTACTCTAGGAGATAGTTATGCGGTAAGTATCACTAATTATGTGATTAAAGAATAAAATATTTTTTTAAAAAACATTTTCAGTTATTTTAAAAGCACTTACAAACAAACCTTATATTGTATTATCTCCAACTGAGGGGGCCACGGAACCATAGGTCAAAATATAGCCCGTTTGACAAAAAACGTATCTCCAACCGAAGGAGGCTATTTTTTAGCCCCCTCAATAATTTATTATTTTAATTAAATTAATATGGTTAATTGAATTAAACAACTATATTAAATCGAAATAAATTAAATTAAATCGAAAAAATATTGAAAGAAAAGGATGGACCTCCTCCAAACGCGGATTGCAAATAAAATTTCCTAAAATTAAAAACAAATAAAATAATAGTACCTCAAAAAATGGTACTAGATTCCGTGAGAAAAGGATCCAGAGATGATCCTTTTTTCTGGGGATCCCAGGAATCTCGTGATAGTAATCGTTCATTGTATATCGTGCGATCAGTTTTTATTAGGTACTATTTATATTTAATTTAAAACTTAAAATTAAAAATGACTTCTGACCGCACGATGTACGATGAACGGTCACGATCATAAGGATCCTTGCTAGATTTCGTGCAGGTAAGCAAGTCTGCGTACTGCAAATTCGGCATGTTAATGCAACCTAAACCAGAGCAGGACCCACAACACCAACAACGCCAAGTGAACTGGGCTACCCAAATCAGGCTGGCTTGCTAGCTTCCTTTGGCCAGCCCGCTGGCCTTGTGGTTGGTTTATGGTCAGGTGGGGCCCACAGGCCTTTTGGCCTAGATCTCGGTTGGAGACAGTTTTCATATAATAAGGCTATATTTTGGCCTATGACCCTTTAGCGAGGTCGATTTGGGATGACCTTAGGATCGATCAAGGTTCTCAACTGCCCTATTCTTTCCGAATATAGTGCCATAAGATCATGTGTGCTACCAGAAAGTTGAAAATTCTGATTACTAAAGATCGGATTCGATAATCTCCTTCTTGCATTTGATGATGTGCTTGACTGGCTCCTTCAGCTCTCGTATCCAGATCAAGGTAGATGAACATCACCATCACCACCACAACAACAAAGCCTTATCCCATTAAGTAAATTTGATTGTATATATGAATCCTAGAACACAAAGCATTATCCCACTAAGTGGGTCGAATGTATGATTAATAGAACGCCATTGTACTCGGTTTTGTGTCAAATCTTATGTTAGATCCAAGTACTCTAAGTCTCTTGTTAGAGTCTTTTTCCAAGTCTTCTTAGGTCTTCCTTTATCTCTTTGGCCTTGAGCCTCTGTCTCGTAATCGCATCTTCTAACCAGAGCATCTGTAGGTCTTCATTTCACATGTCCAAACAACCTTAACCGATTTTCTCTCTTCTTATCTTCAATTGCAATTAATCCTACTTTACCTCGGATATCCTCGTTCCTAATCTTATCCTTTCTCGTATGCCCATACATCCAACGAAATATTTTCATCTCCGCTACACTAATTTTGTATATGTGTTGATGTTTGACTACTCAACATTCCGTGTCATAAAGCATTGTTAGCCTTATTGTTGTCTTATGAAATTTTCCCTTCAACTTTAGTGGCATACAATGGTCGCAGCTCAACACATCCGATGCATTCTTCTACTTCATCCATCCAGCTTGTATTGTATAGTTGATGTTTCCATCCAATTCTCCGTTCCTTTGCAAGATAGATCCAAGATAACGAAAACATTCACTCTTTGGTACTTTCTGACCTCTAATCCTCAGCTCGAGTGTAGTGGCACAAAACCAAACTCAGTGACGTTTTAGAATTCATATAGCCAATCCCATTTAGTAGGATACAGCTTTGTTGTTGTGTTTCATCACTACATGCATTTGTTAAAACAATCAGAAAACTCCTCTCTCCAAAGCACATCTGCTCTCAGTATATTATCCATGAATTTTTACCAAAACAAATTTGAAAACATATGATGAATACAAAGAATAAAAAATTTCAAGTTACATACATTACAACAAGAATCAAGATTTCAAGTTTGTTCAGCAACACAAGGGGCATATAATCAACCCATTTTCGTTACACTCGGGGCACTTATCCGGCTGCCCCTTATCGGCAATGAGCTTGCAGCTCCCACTGCATCGGAAGCAAATCACAAACCGAACTCCATCACAAGCTTCACAGGTGCCAATGGACCGATCCATCGGCACTCCTTCAAAAAGCGGCTTGAGCTTGCCTTGCTCATGAAGTGTCAAAACCTCCTCTGCTCCCCCGATATATCTCCCCTTTATGAAAAGCTTTGGAGGCAGTGCTTTGCAATCCAAAATCTTCCAAAGCTCTTGTCGGAATTCCATGTGCATTGACACATCTCGCTCAGTAGAACACAACCCGAAAACTCTCCAAAAGAAATCGAACGCTGTTGCAATCGTCAAAAGTCTTTCGAATCCCCCGAAGGGTTGTAGTGTAGAGAACTACCGATGATTCCAAACTACCAGGCGGACACTTTTCTTCGAAGCCTAATAGAGGGTCTTCATTTGAAGGCTGCTCTTGCTCTGGCTCGGGATCTGGCGCTTCTACAAAAATGGAGTCTATGTCTTCATTGAAGTAAGCCTCATATATTCCATCACCGCTTGCTGAAAGGCTAACAGTAGGTTCGGGTCGAAGAAGCTACCGGAGTTTAAGTCCGGTCTCCGGAAAGACAAGATGTCAATCTGCGACAAAGCGGTCTGTCTTCGATTTTCTGAAGCTTCAGAAGCTCTGTTTTCCTCCAAATTTGACTCTGTTTTAACCCAATTGTTGTTGGCCTCTACTTGGTGTTTCGCCTTCGTTTTAGGCCTAACGTTTTCCTTGTCGTTGATGTCGATATAATCGCCATCAGGCTCCGACTCTTCTTCATCTTCTAGGTCTCTCATAAGCTCGGTCACATCGATAATGTCAGGCTCTTGCTCCGTCACATTCTTCTCTAACCGTTTGATCTTCTCCTGCTGCTCTGTTTCTTTTGAAATGAAATTATGGTTCTGAATGTTGAGATTTGAATCCGCATATCCATCCGATGCATTTACCTGAAGAACTCGATCTTGCGGTTTCAGGTACCCAATTCCAATCGGTCCGACCTGACTTCAACTTCTTCATCAACTTCCCTTTCACCCCTTTCATTGTTTCCAAAATTGAGCTCCGAAAATCTGAACCAGGCAACAGAATTTGAACACGGAAATAAAAAAAAGGCGGGGATCGTAGAGATTAGAGAGAAAGAGGGGGAGAGCTAAGAGTAAACGAAGCTGCTGCTGCTTCTTCTTTCTCCGCCTTGACCTTGGTGGTGCTGCTACAGCCAGAGTTTTCCAACTTCCAACGGCTAAAAGTTGCTTTTGGAATTTTAAAATTCGAAAATGTGGGGAATGCTGGGAGACGCGGAACAAGATAAGTGTGTGGCTAACGGTCATAATTCACTAGTGGCTTCTTTCTACATCTCTTTAGCTTTTTTCACCTTTTTTGTCTTCCTTTTTCTCTGAAGGACATTGATGGATGGTTGATTGAGAAGCTAGCTATAGTATTAATCATCGAGGTGTATCTTTTTGGGACAGTGTCGTTCCTTCATAATTAATGAGTTGTTTGTCTGATGATTATACTATAACGTAGTCTGTTTTGTTTCTAGCATAAGTGGCTCCCTTGGGATTTTTGTCATGTTGTTTACCCGGGACGAGGTTTTCCATGCTCTCTGTGTTGGTTTCTTTAGCCTTAACCTGGGTGTGCTTAGAGGAGGTTTGAACTAGAGTTGTGTCAAAAATAAGATGTCATGCTTCCTTTAATTTAACGTTTATTTGATGGAATAGACGAAAATGAGGTGAATTGAGAATAACTGAGACAAAAATGGTAGTTTCATGGAGGAAAGTGAGACAAAACTAATGTCAAGAGATAAAGTAAAACTAAATGACAATTTTAAGGGGCAAATCAATTAACAAGACTTTTTTTTATAAAATAGTTTAGCTTCTCACACATGCATGTACATGTTTCTATTGATAATTATGGTCATCACTCATTAATATGCCACATCTCCCAGTTTTTTTTAAATTCCAAAAAATAAAATAAAACACAACATCCTCCTCCTCTGTTAGACCATGTTTAACCCTTGGGTCAAAACCTAAAATTTTTAATCCGAAAAATTTAAGTTTTAACCCAGAAACAATTTGTTCCCTCCAACCCTTTGGATTAAATTTTTAGCCCGAGATTACTAAAAATGAATTTAGGATAATTTTTTCCTTAAAGTAACTTTAAAAAAAAAAATTATGTAGGCTATACTAATTTAGTTTTATGAACATTTTAAATGGGTTAATTACACTAACACTCTATGAGGTTTATCGAGTTTTCACAAAATCCCCTCACATTTGAATTATTACACTAACACCGTCTCAGGTTTTAATTCTCTTTCACAAAACCCCTTCAGTCAAAATTCTGCTAATAAATTGACAACTTTACCCTTATAATTAATTAATTAATTAAATAATAAAGAAATATATTTAAAAAAATATTAAAAATAAGTAAATTAAACATTAAAATAAATAAAAAACTTAAAATATCGAAAAGGACAAAAAGAGTGGAAACCTAAACCCTACACAATTAAACGTCCCAGCATTGCCACCTTCATCCCTTTCCTCTCTGCTCCACCCTCTCGAAAAAAATTGAGGGCTAACCTTTGTTTTGTGTATGAATGCACTGTACACATGGTCCAGAACATAATGGAGCATTACCAGATTCACCATCACCATTTTTGAGAGAAACCTTGAAATTCAAACACCAAAATTTTCACTGAAGTTGGGTTTTTTTTTTTAATATATATATATATATATATATATATTTTATCTGAGATTATATGCAAAGTGTCAGAAACAGAGAAGAACCCAAAATCCAGAATGTTGGAAAAAAATAAAATTTGTGAATTTTATCATCTGAATCCTATCTCTCACCGATGCCACAGCAGTGCAGAGTTTTCCGTAGTGACTGATAATAATTCTTCTTATAGTAGTGGAACGATCAATGAAATGCTTTTTCTTTCTTGATAAATATATGACTTATGCTTGATGGAGGAGTTCAAGGATCTGAGCAGCGAGAGGCATGGGAATGATGGTGGTGGTGCAAATTAGTCATAGAAAGAAAGAGAGAGGGAGACGTTTTCAATTTATTTTTCAAATGTTTAATTTGTTTATTTTTAATATTTCCTTTTTCTAATATATTTCTTTATTATTTAATTAATTAGTTATAAGGGTAAAGTTGTCAATTTATGAGCAGAATTTTGACTAAAGGGTTATATGAAAGTAAATTAGAACTTGAGGGGGGTGTTAGTGTAATGTCTCAAATGTGAGGGGATTTTGTAAAAACTCAATAAACCTCAGGGAATGTTAGTGTAATTAACCTATTTTAAACTAAAAATATTTAGATTTCGATATAAATATTGAATAATCATTAAACTAACATTATGAAGCTCGTGGAACTCTATGAAAAAAATATGAAACACATAAAATATTTTTTTTATTACTTTAGTCATTGGATTTAAATTTGGACCATTAGATTTTATTTTTTTTACAGTTGGATTTGATCTTGTTAGATCTTAGCCGTTGAATTCAATGAATTTATAAATATAAAACGAAAAAAAAAAAACACATATATGATGGGTTAGCCCCACTAACACCCAAGAGACAAAGCGATTAAAACTCATATTTGTCTCTTGAAGTAAATTGGGATAAATTTATAACATAAAATTTGAGTTTTACCCGTCTAAAGTCATCATTATCATTTCCATGAACATAACAAGATGATGGACATGCATCTGTAACTATTAACGTTGCTTTTCCATGAACGTACATTTATGGATTTCCTATGACTCCATAAATTAACATTAATTAATTTTAATTTATAGCAAATACTTTATTTCTGAATGACACTAACAGGAAATTAAACCTTGTATATCTATATGATGAATGAATGCAATGAAACCGTTGAATTTCCAAAAACTATTTACTGCTGAAATGGAAATATGAACGGAAAACCTAATCAGGCCTTGACTGGTCGTTTGCGAGTTATAAATACTGACGACTTTACCATCTTTATGTATAAAACCGTTATCTATGTTAATATTCTAGTCTCTTCATTGCCTTTGCTAATTGCTTGCTACCCCTCTACCTAGCTATAAGTTACAACCGCAGAAAACTCTCTCTCTGTGTTTTCTTCAATGGCTGTGAAGAGTGAGCTTTCCATGGCATTAGTTGTGATGGTGGCGGTGGCGGCGGTGGGTTTGGTTGTTCCTGAGTCACTTGGTTGCGTACCAACCCCGAGTGGTGGTGTGAAATACACAGTCGGAGACCCCTTTTGGGCCATTCCTCAAAACCCTGATTACTACACAAACTGGTCCTCTAACCATTTCTTCAAGATCGGTGACTCCCTCGGTAATCCTATTCCCCGTGTATACATTTATATCACTCTGCCTCATATGCATTACTAAAAAAATGGCAACCACAAACCAACGAGGCTCTTCCTTATGCGAGGGTCGGAGGAAAGTTTATCGTACTCAGCCTTACCCTTACTTTGCAAAGAGATTGTTTCCACAACTCAAACTCCTAACCTTTTGGTGACAAAGGAGCAACCTTTTTGTTGCGTCAAGGCTTGCCCCTCCTCATATGCATTACTATATATGTATGCATATGTATACAACTCTGTGCACATACACACTGCTAAATTTCTTTTTCCAATTGTGGCAGTAATTTTTCTGGTATATTTGTTATGGCACGAGTGCGTGTTGACTTTTTTGGAGTTTCCATCGCAATTCCTTACTTTGAAATACTAAGTTCTTCACCCACTGCGCGGTTATATTGTGGTAAATTGGCACACAAAAACTTGTTATCATCAACTCCACATAAATCTTTTTCACACTTCGACTATATATAACATGAGAGATAAGAATTTACATGTTCTATATCAGATTGACTAAATTATATTATCTTTTTTTTTTGTTTTTCCTTGAAGTTTTTGCATTCGATACGGGGCGTTACAACCTCCTGCAAGTGACAAAGCAAGAGTATGAGAAGTGCACAGGTTACAAGCCACTGAAAGTGTTCAACACTGGTCCAGTGACTATTCCATTGGAAGAAAAGGGTGTGTTTTACTACATATGCAACATCTCTATGTACTGTAGTCTTGGCCAGAAGATTTCTATTAAAGTGAACGAGTGTCCTTGCCCACTACCAAGTCCACCTCCGTCTTCCTCACCTCCCGCTTCTCCAACTCCTGTTCCTCCGTCTTCACCACCACTCATATCAACTCCTCCGCCGTCTCCAAGCAGCCCTAACGGGTCCCAGCCTCCTTATGTGCAGGTTACAAGTCCAGCTCCGTCGCCAGTTGATAATGGTTCTCCTGAGGGTCCTTCAAACTCTGCAGCATTGATGCATAAAGGGATGTTTGGTGTTGGTTTTGGGGTGCTACTCCTCGTTTTTGGGTGATCTAGGAAAATAATTTGACTAGATTTAAGTTGTTTTCTTAGGATAGCAGAGTTTATGTGTTTAATTTCTTTGCAAACCTTAACCAGAATAATTTGATTACTTTATTGATATTAGATTAGAGGATTGAAGATCCTGTTTGGAGTACTTCGATCCAAACATGGGCAGACAAGAATTTCGTTATGACATACATGGGTCTTTTAGTCACTCAATCCTTTCAATAACATATAGCATTGCTTTTTATTGGTGGAACTGTTTGTACTATTTGGGAGATCCAATCGATTCTGCGAAAAGATTTATGATGTCCTAAAGTATCTACATTTTGAGAAGTTTACTCGTTAAATCTTGATCATTGTACCTTTGTCCAAAGATATATCGGTTTAAAGTTTAAATCTACAAAGTATAAAATACCTCAGTGTATACTAAAACATTTCCTGATTTTGACTACAATCCTAGTTGAGGTCATCAACTTTTGAAAGTTCTAACTTTCTTTGTTATAAACTCTCACGTATAATGTTCTAACATTACACGTGAAAGTTAAGGGCAAGGGCAAGGGCACTCGTTAACACTCAAGAGTTAACATTACACTTTAAGGGCAAGGGCAAGGGCAAGACCTCTCACGTATAATTATAAACGTAATGACCATAACCACACGTTTTATGAGCTGAGGGACCAATAGTAATGGATTTTTAGCTGAGGAATTATTGCTTCAATTTAATTAAAATTGAAGGACCATTTCTACAATGTACTCTATTTCATTGGTACAACACAAAAAGAACGAGCAGAACCGCTCAACAAATATTAAAGTGGAGTCAAAACTGTAGAAACCTAAAATAAGCAAGGGCCAAATTATTAAGAGTATGAATTCCATATCGGATAATCAAAAATCTCACAGGCATTTATTAAAAGTTGAGTTATTCCTCGTATTAATAATTTGTTTTATAGTAGAACAAGAACTTAATCAAGCTATATGGACAAAAAGATATACGTCAATAAAAAATCGTGTCCATAGTTCCCAAAATTGTATTGAAACATGGCACTAGCAGCAGATGCATATGGGGTTGGTAAATAAAGAGACTTGACATCGTACTTTGATATTGCCGATTCTGGTGACATGAGCTTGTAACTAAACGGAGCATTGCGCAATCGGTTATTTAAGGTTATAGGTTATAAGCTCAAGCCGCACGGACCAAAGATATACCAGTCAGCTGAGGTACCTTGCTACACATAACCTCTTAGCAGTTGTACTCTAACCAGCATCCAAAAGCAGCAGAACAAATTCTTAGCATTCAACATCATATTATATATAAGTAACCATCCACATTAAGTAGAATAAGCATCTCCTTAACAGCTATTGTTCCGAAGAAGTTTCGGATTCACAAACCAAACCAGAAATAAACGCTGGGAACCTAGACCAACAGACCACAGTGCCGATAACTTTTGTTTTTCTCAAATAACTTCATAAAGCTTAATCTAATCATTGCTGAGCACATTGAACCCTCTGGGCACCACCATGCATGTCCTCATCCTCATCATATGCCTCTTGAGCGTGTGCTTGCTTTCGACGCATTTCCTCCTCTATGTTTACATCATGCAGCGTGGTCTCCTCACATTCATCCAATTCCATGTCGGTAAGTTGTGCCGAAGTCCTGGGGGGGAGGACAGTCTCCAGGGCCTTGCACTGTTCTGGGTTCAGTGAGTCGGGGAACTCCACTGTGAAATGAATATATAACTTACCTTTCATGAATGACCTCTGGTACATTGGCATGCCCTCATCGTTTATAGCCTTGAATTGATCTGAGAGACACCGGTGAAGATAGAAACAGAATCAGGGTAACTACAAAAAAATCTGATGCAACAAAAAATTTCACACTAAGAGCTAAAAAAAACTAATGGTCTAGTTTTCACTCCTGATGCATTTCGTAATTGTGTACTGAATAACCTTATAGAAATTAACAACACCTTGTCAAATTACCAACATCTTATCAAATTAATAAGTAAACAAGTGAGAACTATAAGAAAAATTTCCAACTCAAAATGGAGAATGAGAACTTGACTACACAAGCATGTTTGTTATTCTAATCTTGTCCACGAGTATGAAAGAGTTAAATTACGACTTTGGGGACAAGTTGCAAATATCAATTGGTCCACAATAATTGCACCGCAGCAAGTAGAACACATGAGTCACTAACTACGAGAGAGAGAGAGAGAGAGAGAGAGAGCTATTATAGGGATAAAGGGAGATATAAGGTAATATGTTTTAAATTTAAAAGGCAAATATGTTATTCCCACCCACTCCGTTTTCTTATTCTCCATTAGATTTAGAACATATTACCTTCTCACTCCCATTATTCCTGTAATAACCTTGAATCCTTGTTATTTTTCTCTTTTCCAGAAAAATTGGTCATCTTTGAATGGCTGTGCACATATTGCCATCACATATTCATTAGTTGTGATGTTTGTTTTCTGTTCATGTATTTTTGGTTGTTTGTTCTCTCTTTGCGACATACCCAAACACTTACGCTGATACATGTATAAAACACCAATCAAAATAATCATCATAGGTTCAAGTGAATACGAACTACACATTTATTTGACCAACCCCAATAAAGGTAGTATAGGAAAAAAAACCAAGAACCAATAAGACAATGACTCAAAACATCAAGAATTAACCAAATCACAAGTACAGGGCAACTATTCAGAATGAATACAGTAATGATGAAACTTACCAGGCTTTACAACTTCTCCAGGATGAGATTTAATGAGGAGTTGTCTTCCATCCAAATGCGTTAATATGAATTGAAAGCCACAAAGCGATTCCATAAGTGACAATGTATGTTCAAAGAAAAGGTCATCACCCTTTCTCTTAAACTTAGGGTGCTCTTTTTGTTGTAGGACAAAAACAATATCACCTGTAACGGTGTCCGGCTGTAGAATGAAATAAAACGAAGAGAAAATAGCATGGATCAATAGATATACCAAAGATAACTGACATACAGAGGTACTGAACAACCGAACCTCCAAAGTTCAAAATGAAAGCATGTACACCTACCGCTTCATCAGCTTCACCAGGGAATGTTATCCTCTGCCCATTTTGCATGCCCTTCTCTACAATTACTTCCAAGACTTTCTTTTCCTGAACAACCTTCTCACCCTTACATTGTGCGCAGCGATCCTTGTCATTAATGGTCTCGCCAGTACCCTTGCACTCATTGCAAGGATGTTGCATTTGCTGGATCATCGAGGGGCCAAGATGTCTAATAGACACTTTCATTCCAGAACCTTGGCAGCCAGGACATGTCATTGAAGCACCTGACTTTGACCCTTTACTGAATCATGTCAAATACCAACCCCATATCAGAACCATAGAGCACAAAAGTAAATTTCGGATAACATTCAACTTATTAAACACTAACCCCTTGCACTTGGAGCAGATTACGTTGCGCGAGAGAGAAAGCTTTTTGGATGTCCCATTGTAGAGATCTTCCAAAGAAACCTTAAGGGGATGGATTACATCCTCTCCCCTTCTCTGCCTTCGGCCTCTGCTGCTTCCACCACCTGAGAACATAGCATCAAAACACTCAATTCCAAATTACACAAAGTACAAACACAAGGAGCTCAGATCCAAACAGGGAAAATGCCTTACCACCGAATGGGTTTCCACCAAAGAAGGATTGGAAAATATCAAATGGGTCATGGCCGCCACCTCCGCCACCCATTCCTTCCTTGAGGGCATCCTCGCCATATTGGTCATAGATCTCACGTTTCTCCGGATCACTCAGAACCTCGTATGCTTGAGCCAACTCCTTAAACTAAATTACAAACCGGAATGGAAACAGTTAGAAAATCAACATCATAAGAAATTACTATTAAACTTTGCTTATTGACAATGAAATTCTAGCACAAGCAATCCCCGGCTCGAAGTTAAACTCGGTGCCCAAGTGTCTGAAGACAAACATATAATAGGATTGAAGAAACCAATGTTCACAAGTAAAACTGCTTTATGTGACACCTCTGAGTCATTAAAAACGATTCAGATGAATTATAAATTTCAATACTTTAACAATTCCAACTGCAGCAAACAACAATTCCTATAAAACCCAGGTATCCCCAACATTCCAAAGCATAAAAATAATTAAAAAATTAAGAAAAATATATGCCAGATCTTCATCAAGGGAATCATAGATTTGAACATTCAAGAAGCTGATTATTCAAAAATAAAACAAGAAAATATTATCAGAGGAAAGAGAAAGCAAAACCTTTTCGGGATCCCCGCCCTTATCAGGGTGGTTTTTGATGGCGGCTTTTCTGTAAGCCTTCTTCAGATCGTCCTGCGAAGCGGTCTTTGAAACTCCAAGGATCTCATAGTACTTGCTGTTATCGCTTTTCTTTGGAGCTCTCCCAAACATTCTCACTTATTCCCCTTAATCTGTTAAATAATTAAATATTAATTTAAAAAAAACACCATTAAATTTCAAAAAAATTAATAAGAAAAAACCCAAATCCCAGAACTCGATTCTGAAATTGATGCAGAGAAATGCAGAGAGCATACCGATTTTGAGATTCGATTAATTGGAGATATGTCGTCAGAGGGAGCAGAGAAGAACGATAGACGGCGAGGGAGGAAGAGGAGTGTGGATTCTGCCGGATCGGTATATTAAAGCGAGAGAATGGACGGCTGCGATTGATTGCGAACAGGGTGGTAGCTAAGGGTTAGTATTGACATTTACATGCAAACATATGTGTGGATATGCGAGCAAGGAAGGATCTAGAATTTGTCCTTTTTTTCTCCCTCCGGGTCTCTTACCTTTTTTTTTTTTTTTGCCGGAATATTGTTTTTATTGTGTAAGAATTGTTTTGGCATATTTGATTGTGTGATTATGTAAATTAGGAGAGATTATGTGGATTTGGAAGAATATTTTATATTTAATTGTATTATTTGGGGTCACTTAGTACTATAGTATAGTCGTATTATTCTTGCTTGTAAGTAAGAGATTTTAAATTCGATTCTATCTCTTTTTCATCCATGTCCTTCCGCCTCTTTAAATTTTTTATTTATAACATGTTTTTAGTACACTCCTGACATGTTATCAATATGCTCCTAACGCTAGGCTTCAGATTTGGAGAGGTCCCCTCAACAACGGAGTTTGGTTACATCAATCAAGTACTTCTATACATGATTTCAATTTAAAAAATTTCAACCTTAGTTGCATAAAACATTCACCATAAAGCAGGAGCCTAATTTTACTTTCGATTTTGTGAAGTGGACGCAAGCTGCAGTTAAGGGCAGAACCAAGATTTTTTTCTTGGATGGGCTAGTTGAAATTAATACCATAAAATCATATGTTCAATTTTTTTACTATATAAAATTATATAATAATCAACATAAAATAACAACAATGAAGTATAAGCTATTCTCAAAATTGTAACCCTAATCCATAAACTCAAGGACCATATAACTAATTAACCTACTAACTAACTCAAGAATAAGTAAATAAAGAAATAAAAAACACAAAAAAGATGACATTCATTAGAAAATCTCAACGAGAAGTAAGAAAATTGCGGACACAGAGATTTAAATGTGGATTAAAAACATTTTTTTTTTCTTCAGTAAAAAGCATAGAAGCAGCGCTAGCTTGCATAGTATAAATGGGATAAGGATCCTTGTGCTGGGAATCCTAGAGATTTCGTGATCATGATCGTTCATCATATATCGTACGGTCAGAAATAATTTGAAATTTAAAATTTAAAATTAAAATATAAATAGTACTTAACGAAAACTGATCTCACTATGTAGAATAAACGATCATGATCTGGTCGGATCCTTTTCCGTATAAATGGTCTTTTTGTTTACGGGTTTACCCAAAAACCTCACTGGGCCACAGCCCACAGCCCACTTAGCCATGTGAGTGACTCGCCCGTAGAGTGCCAGTAGACACGTGGAAGCACGTCTGAGGCAAGTTTGGCTAGCATTTTTCTAAAATATTTGAAGTTAAATGTTAAAAAAAAATTGTGAAAATCCAATCCGATTGGCTGAAATACCCACAGAAAAGATGGTATCTCACGTCAAGTGAAAGAGAACGACAATGGTTTTGATCTGTACATGGTTTTGTTAGTTTGACAACTTCCGACGTTGGTGTCACGCTAGTCTGACTCTAAATCACATAGCCAAATGGAAAGTTGAGAATAATTGGCTGAGGGCAGTTTAAAAGGAAGGCTGACGGTCTGTCTGTCTGGTTGTGTTTGGTGTCGGTCGCTGAATCGCAGAGGGAGACGATGGCGAACAGGATAGAGGGGTTCAACTTTGAGCAGAGGCATGGGAAGCAAAGGGTCAGGGTGGCGAGGGTCTGGCGGAACATCGACGGACGCCATACCATCGTTGAATGGAACGTCGGCATCAGCCTCCTCTCCGATTGCGTCTCTGCCTACACCCGCGACGACAACTCTGATATCGTTGCTACCGATACCATGAAGAACACTGTAAGTAATAAGCCTCTCTCTCTCTCTCTCTCGTCGAATTAAATCAACAATCCAAATGATTATTATTTCCATCCACTCTTAATTAATAGATTATGATCAGTGAAATGATATCATGTTACCTAGATTGATAAATCTTTTGTTAGTTTTTCAAAGATATGTTTTAGAGTTATTAGCGATCTTGATATTGGCGTGTCTTTTCATGTTGGTCCTTCCCATTTAAAATTGATAGAAGTGGTCTTAGAGACTGTTCGCGTCACTTATTTTGCTCTTTTTGTAAAAGATCTCCGTTAAATTGAAGAATCACAGTTCAAGTGGAGAGGTTGATTTGACAAAAATATCCTCAAATTGACGAAGATTTTGCACAGAAGAACCAAAATAATTGACAGTGTAGAAAACTACTCCTATTAATTTTAAATCTTAGGGACAGGTAGAATCCATGGGTGAAACTGCTGTGCAACATATCAACTCTAATGAACTATTGCTGAGCGATAACTCGTAAGGCATATTTAGCAGCTGATCATGATTCTCAGCACCAAATGGCAAAAATATCGGTTGAAACTGCGAGCGAGGAATTTAAGGTTCCTCAGTTAACATGGCTGCTTATGGACTCAAGTTCCAATTAACAGGATGATACTTTTAATGCAATGTTATACTGACACAAAAGAAAAATAATATGTACATATCCGTGTTGGTTAGCTTCCCCAGTGCTGGAAATCTGCTATATTTCCATCATTTAGGTTGCTATTCGCTTTGGGATTTAACGTAGTTGCAACACAGGTGTATGTTAAGGCAAAGGAATGTAAAGAAGAACTTTCAGTGGAGGAATTTGCAGTTCGACTTGCTAAGCACTTCACATCTGTTTACCAGCAGGTAAATACTATGTACTTCAAGTGTTTGTTTTTGAATTTCATCAGTTAATCCCATGCTGTAGATGAAAATAAAAAATGTTTGATATTTTTACCACTGTCACTGCTGAAATGATCGCTGTTTGTTGTTATTCTTGGTTTGCTTCCTGGTTAACTAATCAAGCTTTCATCTGGACAGCGTAATGTTTTTTTTCCTTATCCCTGAAGGCATGACTCATGGTATCTTTTTAAGCTTCTGTTTCATCGGTTGTCTTAAGTTTGGACTTTTTCTGTGCTCTCTCTCTCTCTCTCTCTAGTGGTTCGTGTGAAACTTGGTGTCAATCAGCTTTAATGAAACAAATTGTGTCTGGACTGTGTGCTATTGTAAGATCAAAAAAAAAATTTCGAGCTAGATATGCTCTCAAGTGAACACAAACAACCGCCCTCTCTCCATACGCACAGAATTTCACACTTTGAATACTGCCTGGTTGCAACTGCAGCACCTCCTTCTGGCCTTGTCTAATGCTTTTGTATTTGCATAATCTAGAAAGAAAGCTGTCGTTTTTGAAATATGAAAACAAATTACGAAAAGGAGAAAGCTTTCCTTCCTGCAACATTTACTGCTAGTTATAGTAGTCTCCCTGAGAGAGACTTCGATAGAGATAGATGAAGATTGGTAATGATAAGGAATATTTGGACACAAACTTCCTCTGCCTACTGTGTTGGACAATATTTACAATTTTATCTTGCTTTTCATTTAAAGATTACATTCAAATTGGCATCTCATATTTTTTTTTTTTTCTGGTAATATTTGTTGTTGGTAATATTTGATAGTTGGTGAAAAAATCCGGTTGTTCTTATTTTTGTAGGTCACTACTGCCATAGTAAGGATTGTGGAGAAGCCATGGGAGCGTGCATATGTAGACGGTCAACCACATGAACATGGTTAGTCTATCTTCTGTCCTGCATACAAGTGCGGGCAAAGCTATAAAGCTACTGTATATGATATCAACTATCTAGTGAAGACTTTATGATGCAGGGCAATCACAATAAGCTGCTGTCGAGCAGGTAACATAGCAAGGAAATAGAGAGATAAAAGCAATAGAATTGAAGTAGAAAGGACGATAATTGAGTTCTAGGGAGAATCCCAAGCGAAACTCTTAAATCTGAAACTGGAATACATTTGAAAAAAAACACTGGATACATGGTTCTCTTAATAGCCTATTTATACTAGAGTACAGCTGCCCAGAAACCCTAATCTTGTACGCTAAGAAATCTCATCCAACTAGGACTTACGTAATTAATCACATTCCTATTTAGAATACATTAAACACATAGGGAAGCATAGAAAATATTAAAGCACATATATTCTGAAAGTATTTCCAAGCATATTGATTTGCAATCCGGAGACATCCATTCTGTTCATTTTTTTAATTTTTAATTTTTTTTCATTGCCATATTTGTTAAAGGTTTCAAATTAGGATCCGAGAAGCGTACAACAGAGGTAATTTTAAAGAAATCTGGTGCACTGCGGGTGACTTCTGGGATTGAAGGACTATCTCTGCTAAAGACAACAAAGGTAATCTTATCCAATCAAATTTATATCAAGGTTTTAAAAATTGAAGGTGTAATGTGACAATGGATATCATAATCAATTACTCTGTGTATAATCAAGAAAGGAATCTGCGGGGGGTGGGGGTGGGGACCAAAAGCTAAATCGATCCAAAACTTCATCTACCCTGAATAATCCTAAATACTCATTCTGTTTAACTCCATCCATATGATCTAAAAAACTGTCATGCCCTTCTACAAGTAACAGTTTTTACAACATTGTCTTTCTCAAGATTTTAAGCTGCATAAGACCCTCGTAACATCTGTTTTGGACCGCCTAACTTGAATGAGCCTCCTTAAACAATTTCTACCAGATCTGTATCGTAAATGGACAATTAAGAAAAGATGATTAACAGTTCCTTCCCCTGTCCTTCAAAGAAATTTATGGAGCCTTCTTTGAATCTGATTACAATTATTAATTTTCCCCTTGGTCATCAGGAATGCAAGCACTTGAATCTTAAGAGGAATCTTTGCCTTCCAAATTGGATCAAAAGAAAATGGATGCGAACTCTCCCCTATGTTATCCCCCATTGATTGTAACTGTCCCTTGAATATATACTCCAGCCCCTGACATTAGGGCAAACTCTTCCGACTGTTTAAGTCATTGAGATTCCTAACTAAGTCTTAACCGGAAGGAAACACAGGTGCATCTTAAAAATCTTGAAGCTTCTCGATGCTCTTGCTGGAGAGTGATAAGATCTGGAAACAGAACTCCCAATGCATTAACCTCCAGCTCCTTATGAGTTATCAAAATTTACCGTTTCGTGGTTTCTGACTAACATGATATCATCTGCACGTGGTTGTATTATCATGCTAATCCATTATGAATTTACTGAACAAAGAAGGGAGACAGAAAAAGTATGCATTGCAAACATTGCAAGTTGATATAATTTGGGAAGACTTTTAACTGCTATTTGCATATTAGCATGCATGTGTGTTCTTTTTCTCTTGAGTTTGTTGATTGATTGATACTGATGATTTTTTGTTTGGATTCTACCTGAACAGTCAGGTTTTGAGGGGTTTATTAGGGACAAATACACAGCTCTTCCTGACACACGAGAGAGGATTCTGGCTACAGAGATCACTGCATCATGGAAGTATGCATGTTTTCATTTGGTGACTTGATATAATGCTTGTTAAGTGGATTTCTAATACTTTGGCTTTCCTTTGCGGTTTCTTTTGTATTATAGTCTTCAGTGGTTACATTGAGTCTAGAGTTAATTTCCACAAGTGTTTGGAGACAACAAATCTACGTTACTGAAACAAATTGCATGCAGGTACCAATATGAATCCATATTTAGCATCCCTCAAAAGACGCTGTACTTCACTGAAAGATACCTGAGTGTGAAAAAAGCTCTGGCTGACACTTTCTATGGTCCTCCAAAGGAAGGAGTATACAGCCCGTCTGTCCAAAGCACTCTTTATCACATGGCAAAGACTGTTCTCAATGGGTATTTCTCTGTCAGCACACACATTCATATTGCATATGTTTGCTGAATAAAATACTTATTCATGTTCATGGTTACAGGTTTCCTGACATAGAAGCAGTACAACTGAAAATGCCAAATATCCATTTCTTACCTGTTAATCTATCTAACAAGGATAATACTATTGTGAAGGTAAGACTCTTTTGTTATGTAAGTTTTTGCATACAAAATCCATATACTTATTAACGTATTGAACTTCTGTTCGGTGGCACTCATCTGTAGAAGTGTAGTGTTTGAAAAGAGTAAATTGATTTCTTCCCAGTCTGGCATATTACTCAGCAAGCTTTCCTAAAACTATCTTTTCCTTTTATTCTGCTTAGTGCCATGTTGCTTTTTATCTCACATCCCTTGTTTCCCTGCAAAGTAGTTGTCCACTGCGGCGTGCAGTATATTTTGCCTTCCTGGTGCCTTCAGCCCTCACCCTTCATAGCTTGTTTAAAGTCTACTATCCCGATGGTCTCTTCTTTGTCCAGTAGTTCTGTGACTGTTGTTTGGAAACTGCTGTTTCTTTTGCCATACTGGAATTGGTATTCCCTGTGCTTTACAGGTTCAATTCACCTTGAGATCACGTAGGAAATAGGTTCTTCGTGATCAAGATTCATGACTAATATTCTTATGTCATTGTAATGTAGAATCGCAAAGATTCTGTTGTCAGAAACTAAATGTCTAGACTTCATCATTTGAATAATTTGCAAGTTGATAAAACCCAGCCAGTTATCGTGTACAATAAACTCGTGTTTTAGGGTTGTGACAATGACACATCTGTAAAATAAGGGATTAAGTTTAATGAGATAAGTCTGAAACCGAATCTTGGTACAACGAAAACAATACTCTAATGGACAAGACTTTCTGATGCATTGTACTTGTATGCATGTGGATTTTTATGGTGATGTTAAAATGTTAATCAATCGTTCTTTTCTTGGGGTATTAGTTAATGATGCGGTATCCTTCATTGACTCATGAAAATTTGTTTCTTCTTTTCCGTTGTTTGCAGTTTGAGGACGATGTTTATCTTCCAACAGATGAGCCACACGGATCAATAGAAGCTACTCTAAGCCGTTTCTGGTCAAAGATGTAGTTCTCGCCATTTCTGTACTTGTAAGCTTTTAAAGATACAGAAACAGTTCGTTCGACGTTTGAAGCTATAAGCTTAACTCTTCCTGTAAAGTAGAAAGTATTTCTGAAGAAGACTAAGTCCGACCTCAAGAATGTCTGGAGGTTTAGAACTGATGCAACTGTAAAATAGAAATAAGAGTGTGGATATGAAGAATAATGTTTGGAAGTCTGAAACAACTGAAAATCTAGAGTTTAATTCTACATATACATGGTCAATATGTTGTTTTGACAAACCAATATTCTTTTTATACGAGCGATATTTCAGGAAATTAAAACTGCTCTAGTTTAAAATGAAACCGAAGGAACGGTAAGACTTAATTAAGGATTATTCCGCTAAATCTAATTTAGCGAAATTTTTACAAATACATCTTTGCATGAGATGTCCTGGAGCATTGAATTATTGGATTTATATGGGTGGATCTTGACAATGTTAGTCTAAAAACCGTTTAAACATCAGTGTATCCCATACATCAGTTTTTGGGAAACTTCGTTTTTGTTACTTTAGAGACACACGCTAGAGGTTTGTTTTTAATTTTTATGTCGATGGAACCACATCCATGACGATCCATCGGATGCCGTAAGCCAACAGAAACAAGTCTCCTCCCATGTGGTGTGACAAATGTGTGTAGAACCATGTAGCACCCATGTAAGAGATGCAGTGTGGCAGATATCTAACACCAAACAAATCATGAAATTAAAATAAAAAACAAGCCTGGAGTCCATTGGCGCTAACCTCTGAGTAAAAATGAAAAAAGGAGTACAAAAGAAAAAAACGGGATGTGAAGAAAATCACTTAACAATCTAAATGCTTTGTTGCAGTATTTGAAGTCAATTGCGTATTTCGTGCGTTTTTCAACTTTTCTATATGCAAGATTAGTTTGACATATGGACATCGTAGCATCATGTTGCATTGCATCGTGTCAATGTCATGAGGTGAAAAGAAAGAGCGCGTTAGTAAAGAAAAATAAATCACTGTTGATGAAATTAAGTTGCCACGAGAATTCCACTCCACATTTAAATTTAGTAGGTAGGAAAATGCTTAATAGAAATCACTTTTAAAATGATGTTGTCACGAAAGTTACTCTCCTTCAACTTGACCACATTTGCATTGAAAGGTAGTAGGTAGGTTACAAACATAGAAAAATGATTGACTTTAGTAATCACTAGTGCATATTGAAATTAAACCCTATTTCTTTTGGATACAAACATAGAAAAATGTTCGTTGATTAAATGTGTGATCTGTTTTTAACTGCTATGGAGCTACATCTCTCAGCAACATTGTTGAGGAGATCTTAGTCCAAGTACTTCATGGCACCAAAATGTTCGTTGATTAAATGTATAAGTTGGTATACAAGGTCCAAAAGTTAGAAGCCGACAAGGCTCTTGAGCTTTTAAGTTTGAATGCTTTCAGAAGACAAGAACTTCAGATGATTCTTTGAGACTCGCACAACGTGCAATAACTTATACTCATGGCCTTCCGTCGGCTCTTAATCTTATAGGTTCTCATCTGAATAATAAAAGTACAGGTCGTTGGCAAGCTATATTGGATAGTTACGATCCTTACAGGTGGAGAACCTTATAAGGGATTTCAATGAATACTTCAGCAGAAGAGTTATGATGCCTGGGATGATGTCGTGCAATCACTTTTCTTGCTCAAGCTTCAAAACTGTAACATTACCACCAGAATCTCCATCATACCTGCAAACACAGTTGTCCAATACATAAATTTACTTGAAACAAATGAACCCGCCTATCTACTTGATCGATCCCAATTGGGAGTGACACACACTTACATGTAGGGACTATATGCTGCATAACGTTGGCAAGGTACTATCTTGTTGAAAAGGATGAACATCAGCCAACATGTTCTTTTCTATGTCCCAAACCTAAGCACAACATTGCAAAATAATTATTACACGGCGGTAGATAAACAAAGCCAAAAACTAAGTTTCGATAATTCATTCATCGAAGAACGAAAAATATATCAGAGGAAGGCATAGTATGTGCATTTAGAAGTATGCCTTGGTTCTCCATAAACTGAACACAAACATCACCATTATATCAGACTATTGAATCATTGTACGAAAGAACTGACTGCTATACTTTTCAAGAAGAACAAAGGGTCTCTAAATTTCACTACATTAACAAGAAAACCGAAACAAAACAGTTGGAAATCGAAGAAAGTAACACGTAATACTTGTACCCTGTATAAACTTGCTTGGAACTGCATTGACCGACTCAAGTAGAGCTTCAGTGTCATCTTTGCCAAATAGTTTGATTCTGCCATCCCTGTAAATGTGAAGAAATTATCATATATATTTCAAGTGAACGAAAATGAAGACAAAAGACGAACATCTTGCACAGACAATTTCTGAAAGGCAATAACAAGGCTAACATTGGTAGAATGAATGGACTACTTGGTTGAATTTGCAAGTAATTTACGGATGGAGTCATAAGCCAACAAGTTACAGCCTGATGGTATTCCATGATGGAATATATACGTGGGTCTTTATCACTGCCTTTAAAACTATGATCAGACCTTTCCTCCAGGCTACAAAATACTTAACAAATAAGTAATGTTAACTCTTAAACTGCCTTTAGAAACAAATAGATAGATCTGATTTTTAATTTAATACTGTCATCAACTATTTCTGCCACAAAAGCAGCATAAACACTGACCAACAAAAAAAGACAAAGTTTGAGTCTATCCCGACTTCCGAGTGACTTGTTGCTCAAAATAGTTTAGAACCTTTACTTTTGTTCGACTTTCTCCTCCCTAATAAAAAACCACTTGAGTTGTTTTAGTAGAGAACCACATCTATGAGTGCTTCGAATCCAGATGTAAGGAGGCAGGTTAACAACTGAAAATGCCGAATATCCATTTCTGACCTGTTAATCTATCTAACTAGGAGAGTACTATTGTGAAGGTCAGACTCTTTTGTTATGTAAGTTTTTGCATATAAAATCTATATACTTAATAACTAACAGATTAAACTTCTGCCGGTGGCTCTCATCCGTATATATCTACTGTTTGAAAAGAGTAAATTGATTTCTGATCAGTCAGGCCTTTTACTCAGCAGCTTTCCTAAACCTATCTTTTGCCTGTTATTCTGCTTAGGGCCATGTTGCTTTTTAGCTCACATTCCATGTTCCTCGCAAAGCAGATGTCCACTGCAGCGCGCATTTTTCCTTCCTGGTGTCTTCAGCCCTCACCCTTCATAGCTTGTTTAAATTATAGTATGCTGATGGTATCTGCTTTGTCCAGTAGTTCTGTGACACTTGTTTGGAAACTGCTGTTTCTTTTACAGGTTCAATTCACGTTGTGATCACGTAGGCAATAGCTTCTTCGTGATCAAGATTCATGAATAATATTTTTATGTCAATGTTGTAACGTGGAATTGCAAAGATTCTGTTAGGCATAGAAATTGCAAGTTGATAAAACCCAGCCAGTTATTGTATTCAATATACACGTGTTTTAGAGGTCGTGAAAATGGCACATTTTTAAATAAGGGATTAAGTTTAATGAGATACGTGTGAAACCAAATCCTTGGTATAACGACAACCTACAGGACGCTAATGGACAAGACTTTCCGATGCATTGTACTTGTATGTGGACTTTATATGGTGAGGTTATCTGATAATTTTAATCGTTCTCTTCTTGTGGTATTAGCTAATGATGTGTTATCCTTCATTGAGTCATGAAAATTTCTTTCTCCTTTTATGTTGGTTGCAGTTTGAGGACAATGTTTATCTCCCAACTGATGAACCACACGGATCAATAGAAGCTACTCTAAGCCGTTTCTGGTCAAAGACGTAGTTCTCGCCATTTCTGTATTTGTAAGCTTTCCAAGATACCGAACCAGTTTGTTCGACGTTTGAAGCTAATAGCTTAACTCTTTCGTTAACTGTAAAGTACAAAATGTTTCTGAAGAAGACTAAGTCCGGCCTCAAGAATGTCTAGAGTTCTAGAAATGATGCATGAGTGGGGATACGATGAATAATGTTCGAAGGTGAAACAAATGAAAAACTAGAGTTTATTCTATGCATGGGTCAATGTGTTGTTTTGATAAACCAATATTCTTTTTATACGAGCGATATTTCAAAAAATTAAAACTACTCTAGTTTATGGGAACGGAGATCTGAACTTAATCTACGTTCAAGAATGTTGTTAAATTCCAATTCACACTTGGCCTTCAGCCTCCTTCCGTGTGTAAGTACACATTTGTAACAAAGACATTGATGCAGATTAATAACAGAGTCATGTGAGACAGAGATCCTTGACTATTTTAAATAACACACTAACCTTGATATATATTTTCTACCAAAAACAGACGAGTAATGACTGGAAAGTCAACAGCTACCAGTATAGGGGGCGCACGGCAGGCACTGGACTGGAGGACCACAACACCACCAGGGAGGGTGGACAATGGTTCTTTGTAATTGATAAAAGAACAGCCGCATCCGCATGCAGCCGCTTCATATTTATATATCATTGTTGGGGTCTACTTTATAATGTATTTCAACTAACTAATAGTCAATAAAATACAACAATTTAAAACTACATAACCGTTGGATTAAATAATGGTCATTTTTCTTTAACAAATGATATTATCTATAGTAAGGGAGAAGGGGGTGTGCTTAGCTTCACAATGCTTGGGATAGTCATTTTAGTATTTCTTTGTATAACCGTATGAGTCCTGCTCTCCTAGGGCCCTCATTTGAGGACCAGTGAGGACCAAATGCATATTAGCCACAAAATTATATTAGTTTAGATTCAAAGGCTTAAAATATTTGACAACTTAATAAACCAAAACGAAGATGAGTTTTCTAATGGTTCATGGATCTTAAGTTGATTTTACTTTATTAAGTTGAATATATTAACTATTTGGATCTAAACTAATATAGTCTTATGGCTATTATGCATTTAGTCCTCACAAGTCCTCAAAATGAGAGCATTAGGAGAGCAGAACTGATAATGGCATTAGTCTATTTTTTATTATAAATAAATGTTTTAATGATTTTAAATTAGGTATACTAAATGGATATAGATGGTTTGGATTCTTGAAAAATGCTACGGGAATTGAAATATATATAAGGCAAAGGCAACCGGTGGAACATATACTAAATTATAAAGGAAAGAAACAAAGTAGGAGCTACCTTAAGTTAGGAACGTGGGTGGGTTTGGTCTTTTTAATTTATTCAT